TTGTGAAGACTATAGCCTGGATCAGGCGCACCTTACTCTCCAGCCTGATGTTGTTGCTCTTCAGTACTCTGGAGAAGTCGGTCCCTGACAACATTCTTAGTGTGTAAATTAAATAAAATGAGAAGAAAAAAAATCTTTTTGAAAAAAATTCTTAGTGTGTCTGTCCTCTGGTCCAGTAATTCTGCTTCTGGGAAGTGGGGTCAGGAAAACCAGAATCCTGGTTATGAGAACGCTTTAGAGAAATGTTCACCACTGAGTTGGTGAGAAAGGAGAAAAACAGGAAACCACCCAACTTTCAACAGACAGGGGACAAGTTACAAGGCACCCTTCTTACAGGGGACTCAGGAGCACAGGAGCACAGTGGGTAAGTGTTTGACTGCTACCCACAAGCGTGATGGTTCAAACACGCCCATCACTCCAAGGGAGGCAGATTAAGGTAGTTGCTTCTGCAAAGACAGCAGCCTGGGAAGCCTGGTGGGCAGTTTCGTTCTGTCTGAATCCAAAGTGATCTGAAGGCTAACGGGCTTTGTTGTAGCTGTTGTTCTGCAGTCATTAAAAATTCATCAGGAACCTTTCTACGAAGATGGCGCCGAAAGTGAAGAAGGAAGCCCCTGCCCCTCCCAAAACTGAAGCCAAAGCAAAGGCATTAAAGGCCAAGAAGGCATCGTGAAGGGCATCCACAGCCAAAAAAAAAAGAAGATCCCCCCGTCACCCACCTTCCGGCGGCCTAAGACGCTGAGACTCCGAAGGCAGCCCAGATACCCCCAGAAGAGCGCCCCCAGGAGAAACAAGCTTGACCACTAGGCCATTATCAAGTCTCCCCTGACCACTGAGTCAGCCATGAAGAAGATAGAAGAAAACAACACACTTGCGTTCACTGTGGATGTCAAGGCCAACAAGCACCAAATCAAAGAAGCTGTAAAGAAGCTCTGTGACCTTGATGTGGCCAAGGTCAACACTCTGATCAGGCCTGATGGAGAGAAGAAGGCGTATGTTCGACTTGCTCCTGACTATGATGCTTTGGGTGTTGCCAACAAAATTGGGATCATCTCCACTGAGTCCAGCTGGCTAATTCTAAACACACATTTTTCTCACCATAAAAAAAAAAATCATCAGGAAGACTCACTTAAGATTGTGGGCCTTTCCACTACACACACGTACACGTATATAAAAATCTATCTTTGACAGTACAGAAAAAGATGCGTGTCCAGCTCTCCAGCGCCGGTTAATGACATGGAAACTGAAGGGTGTGGGCGTCAACTGCGCTTGGAAATGTTCTCCAAAATAGGCTGGGTGGATGGGCAGACAGATGAACAGACAGATGGGTGTTGGTGGTGGTGTTGTTGTGAGGTGCCGTCCAGTCACAATGACGACGATGCCATATAGAGATGAAAGCCAGCCCGCGCAGGCGCCATCCTCAATCTCTGTGCGTAAACCCGCTGCTGTGGCCACGTTGCAAATCCATCAGAGTCTCCACCTCTCCAAGCATGCAACTTTTCCACGGACCGGTCTTTCCTGACAACATGGCCAAAAAGTGTGAGACAAAGCCTCACCATCCCTGCCTCCAAGGAGCAACCTGGCTGCACTCGGTCCAAGACAGGTTTGTCCCTTAACAGTCTACGGTACAGTCAATTAGAAAAAGGCTAACTGCTCTCTCTAGTGCTCTTCTGTACCACTGAGTCGGAACCAGCCCACAGATGACCCTGCAGTGGGTTTTCAGAGGCTGTAAATCACACAGGAGGAGACTGACTACATTTTTCCCCCCAAGAAGCAGTTGGTGGATTCGAACCGTGTGCCTTGAGGTTGGCCGCGCAGCTCCTTACCACCAAGCCACCAGGGCTCCCTACAGAGGTCTCTCTATAGAAAGTGATGAATGCGTCACTGAACCAGGCACAGCAAAATGGTTATAATGGCAAGCGTTTTGTTATACACAGCTTATACAGGATAAAATAAGTAACAATTGCTCTTTTGCAATATTTAGAAAAGTCGGGGGGTGGGGGGCGTCATGGCAACAAATAAAAACACACCACTGAGAAAGGAAAGGCAAAATGCACTAATGGGATGCTCGGCTCCTGTGGGTATTGCAATTCATGCGATGAAACAGACTGGAAGAATGATTGATGAAAAACCAATATGCTTTATAAAATTTCACTCAACTCACACATGTAAAAGAGGCACTACATACAATTATAACTAAAACGAAGAGAGATTAGGAGGAGACAATGGCTCAGGCTCACGGAAAACCCTCCAGAAAATGCAAAATCATCACAGGTTTCTAAATGATCTCTTGCAACATCTCTGAAGGCTTGAGAATCGTTTTATAATACTGGAGAAAGCTGGCTGTGGTTAGGTTTCCGACAGAAGGACACGGTGGTGACCCCAGGCTGTCCTCAACATCACGGCTGAGACCTCTGTTCACAGTCACAGTGTTTATCTCATTGAGGGTCTTCCTCTCCTATTCCAGAACTCCACCTTTCCCAGGATGATGTCCCTTTTCAAGGACTCTTCTAATTATATTTAATGGGTTGGAAACATTTTATAATGAAATAGTGGGGAAAGGAGCTATAGAAATATTTCACAAAAAGGATAGTAGAGGATTGAAAACATTTATAACAAAATATTGAGGGGAAGTAGGTTGGGAAACATTTAATGAAGTGGAACAAGGTGTAGAATACATACAAAAAGGAAAATGCTGGGTTTACAAAACATTATGTAACATATGTTCTACTTTTTAATAGAGGGAGGGAAAATGCATGGAAAAGTGCCTGGACATCAGAATATTAATAGATGCTTTTGCAGAAGAAGAGGGACCGGGGGTGGCACTCTGTGGGTGCCTGTTTCTTCTTTCCACCCTGAATTCAAATGATAATAAAGAAATGTTTGCAGGCATCTCGCCCTTCCATAAAGCGAAAACAGTTATTAAAGAAACTTGGCTCCACCAGAAAAACAGGAAAAAATCTGGCTTCAGGAAGAGAGATTAAAATCCCAAATCACGGTTCGAATCCACCAGATGCTTTGCCGGGGAAGGAGGGGCAATCTCCTCCTGTACCAGTCAGATCTGATTTGACGGTACATGCACACTAAAATAATAAAATAAAATTTAAAAAAAATCCCAAATCAAAGCCAGTGCCAGATGCAAGTCTACCTCTATGACCTGTGGGACAAACCAGAACTGCCCAGAAGGTTTCTAAGGCTGTGTCAAGCATGACTAATGAGCAATGATGTCAGTCTGGAGACTAAGGTGTATCTGATCCAGGCCATGGTCTTTGCAATTATGTGTTATGCATCAGAAAGTTGGACAGTGAATAAGTATGATAGAAGGAGAATTGATGCCTTTGAGCTGTGGTGCTGGAGAAGAGTACTGAATATACCATGGATGGCTAGAAGAACAAATAGGTTCGTCCTCAAGAGGGTGAAGCCAGGCAGTTTCTTGGAGGCAAGTATTCTGAGGCTGCATCTGCCATACTTTGGGCATGTTGCAAAGAGGGACCAGTCCTTGGAAAAGGACCTCATGCTTGCAAGGGTGGAAGGATAGTGCAAGAGAGGAAGACCCTGGATAAGATGGATTGATTCAGTGACTGGGGTAATGGAGGTGGGTATGTCAGAGACAGTAAGGTTGACTCAAGATAGATCACAGTTCAGGGCTGTTATATACAGGGCCACTATGAGTCACAGCTGACTCGACAGCACCTAACAACAAAACCATCACAGGGGCAGACCGTCACATCTTTCTCCTATGGAGCAAAGGGTGGGTTTGAGTTCCCAACCTTTTGGTTTGCTGCTCAGTGCTTCAATCACTGGGATTCCTTAGGGAGATTATAAGGGATTAAATCTCCTCCCCTTTGCAGTTTCTAGTTTCTTTTCTTGTGATTAGAATGAAAGTTGACAAAGAAAATGACTTTTCCATTCAACCATCCTGACACATTTTGCTTTATAACATTCATGACAGTATCCACAGTGTAACTGCACTCTTCCCTCTCCCTCCCTGTGATTCTCATTTCCAGCCATCGTTCTCCCCTACCCCTTCCTACACTTACGGTTTTTGGGCAAACGCTACCTCTTTGACCTTATATGGTTGGTCATCCCAAGGAGTTAATACCTCCCTGGTGTTATCAGTCACCTTATAAGAAGTAAAGATATGCTAAGCCACACTATGGTATCTTCCACCACCTCACATGTGTATGAAATATAGACAATGAATATCGAAGACTAGCGAACCAATGTGTTTAAACTGTGGTGGTGTTGATGAACAGTGAGTATCCCATGGATTTTCAAAAGAACAAACAAATCTGTCCTGGAATAACTGCAGCCAGAAATTTAGAAGCGAGGCTAACAAGGCTTCGTCTCATGTATTTTGGGTGTCTCATCAGGAGAGGCTAGGTGTCGGGGAAGGGCATCGAGCTTGAGCAAGGCGAGTATCAATTAGAAAGAAAAAGAAGGTCAACGAGATGAACTAACACAGTGAGTCCACGCGGATGGCCTCGAACACAGAAAGTAACACAGACTGTCAGGCCCACACGGGACCGGGTATGGGACTGGGCATGGATCTGGGCAGTGTCTCTATTGGACTCTGGGTCACTATGAGTCACAAATGAGTTGATGGAACTTGTTGTTGTTGTTGTTGTTGTTATGTGCCGTCGAGTTGCTTGCGACTCATAGTGACCCTATGTACAACAGCCCTAAACTCTGCTCTGTCCTGTGCCAATCGCACTGTCTCTGACACTCCCATCCCGATTAATCCCAGTCACTGAATCAATCCACCTCATAGAGGGTCTTCCCCTCCTGCGCTGTCCCTCCACCCTCCCAAGCATGATGTCCTTCTCCAAGGACCGGTCTCTCCTCACAACATGTCCAAAGTATGTTAGACGGAGCCTCAGAATCCTTGCCTCCAAGGAGCCACCGGGTTTAACCCTTTCCAGGACAAATCTGTTTGTTTTCCTAGCAGTCCATGGTATTCTCAATACTCTTCTCCAGCGCCACAGCTGAAAGGCATCAATTCTCCTTCTATCCTCCTTGGTCATTGTCCAACTCTCTGATGCATAACAAGAGACTGTGAAGACCATGGCCTGTATCAGACGCACTTTAGTCTCCAGAGAGACACCACTGCTCTTCAGCACTTTGGAGAGGTCCCTAACAGCAGACTTTCCCATGGCAATGCGCCTTTTAATTTCCTGGCTGCTGGTGCCAAGACTGTTGACTGTGGAGCCAAGCAAACTAAAGCTGTGTACAATCTCAATCTCTTCACCATCCATCCTGATGCTGCCGATTGGTCCAGTGGTGAGAATCTTTGTCTTCTTCACATTGAGCCTCAATCCATATTGTAGGCTGCAGTCCTTGACCCTCTGCAGCAGGTGCTTCAGGTCCTCTTCAGTTTCAGCAAGCAGGGTTGTGTCATCTGCATAACGCACATTGTTGATAAATCGTCCACCAATCTTGACCCCACATTTCTCCTCACAGAGCCCAGCCTCCCGGATAATCTGCTCTGCATACAGGTTGAAAAGGTATGGAGACAGGATGCATCCCTGGCGTACGCCCTACCCAATTTTGAACCATGCAGTGTTCCCTTGCTCTGTTCTGACGACTGCCTCCTGGTCCAAGTATAGGTTTCGCATTAGAATGATCAAGTGTTCTGGGATTCCCATTCTTCCCAGAGTCAGCCACAGTTTGTTATGATCCATACAGTCAAATGCCTTTGCATAGTCAATGAAACACAGATAGACATTCCTCAAATCTTTTCTGGAAGAAGAAGGTCGTGGGATTTTCCAGCTGGATTGCAACCACTACTCTTGGGTTTAGCAGCCCAGAGCCTAACTACCGCGCCACCAGAGGTCCTCAGGCCAAGAGCACGCGGTGTTATTGTGATAAACACCCAGCAAAGGATAGGAGTGACCAGTGGTACAGGGGGAGGTGGGCTTGGCTGGGGCAGAGGTGACCTTGCGTTGGGGTGGAGAGCGTGGGAGGGGACGCCGCCACTCGGGCCTGGACAGATGGTGGGAGACTGAGGACAGTACCTGTGTTGTCGGGCATGGTGGCCTGGTCAGTGTTCCGTTCCTTCTTCAGGACGATGTTGCCGAACTGGAGAACTGCCGAGACCATCCGCAACATTGCTAAAGGGAAGCAAAGAGAAGGTTAGGCAGGAGAGGGAGGGGAGCAAGGAAGAGAGGCGCCCCTGGTGTCCTTTAGGGCAGTGAAATTTTGTTTTGTGATACTGTAACCCAGAACCCAGACCCTGCCCTCTGGCATACCCACAAGGGATGTCCAATCAAAGACACGCCCATAACACAAACTCCATCCCCGAGTCATGCCTGCAGAATAAACCCCGCCCTAAGACACACCCACAGCACAAACCCCACCCAAAGACACACACACATTAAAAACAGCCCCAAAGCTAGGCTCACAACATAAACATTGCCCCCAAAAGGCATGCCACAACAGACTCCACCCCAAACATATCCAAAGTATAAACCACGCCCAGAAGACACACCCACAGTATAAACCACACACCCCCCAGAAGACACACCCACACAATAAAACCACGCCCCCAGGACACGCCCACAACAGACTCCTCCCCAAACATACCCACAGCATAAACCAAGCTCCAATGACACACCCACAGCACAAACCACGCCCAAAGACACGCCCACACAATAAACCATGCCCCAAAGACACGCCCACCACAGACTCCGCCCCAAACATACCTGCAGTATAAACCAAGCTCCCATGACGTGTCCAGACCATAGACCACGCCCCCAGGACACGCCCACACCACAACACCACGCCCCCCGGACACCCCCACAAGACTCCGCCCTAAACATACCCACAGCATAAACCAAGCTCCAATGACACACCCACAGCATAAACCATGCCTCCAAAGACACGCCCATAAAATAAACCACGCCCTGAAAATATGCCACAACCTAAGCCACGCCCAAAGCACAGACTCCGCCCCAAATTATGCCCATAGCATAAACCAGGCTCCAATGACACACCCACATCACAAACCACGCCCAGAAGACACGCCTACAATACAATCTCCACCCCAACATACACTCAGGAAACAAGCCCCTCCCCTTGGTGTGTGTCATCCAAGTACTGGCCTCCTTATAAGCCACACCCACCAGACACGCCCACAACACAAAGCCTGCCTTCAAAGCACACCCAACAATGTAAACTCTGCTCCAGCACACACCTACCTTGCAAACCCACATCCCAGTGACACAGGGACAACTCCACCCCTAAACATCCACAACCTGAGTCCACTCCCCCATGACTCGTCCATAATGCAAACCCTGTCCCCACGTCACAGCCCAAGTCCCACCCCACAACATGCCCAGAAACCAAGCCTAGCCCCACTCCCAGGACACACCCACAATTCATGCCCTGTCCCTCTTTTCCCATGTTCTGACATATTGCAGGACCCGGTTACCAAAACCCAGAGAGCATCAAGGTGTTAGAAGCTTTCCTGATGCCATCTAAGGTATAAACACTGCTGTGTCCAACCCTAGGGTGAAGAAAAGCAAAGACAACTGGGAGCAATCAGTCCATTGTTGGACTGGACCATGTGACCCCTCAGTCTTCATGACCTTGACAACAGAAGAACTAGATGGTGCCCGGCCGCTCCTGCTAACTTCTCTGAAAGTGAATGCATTAGGGGTCCTGCCAGAGCCCTTGAGCCTATGGCCCTTGAAGTAACTCATTGCTGTGGAATCTGCACCACCACATGACTGACCCTCCAGTGGGGGGTTCGAAGGCTGCCAATCACAAGGAATGGAAGAGACCACCCATCTTTCTCCTGCAGAGTGGCTGGTATGGATTTGAACCAATGAAGACATGACACCTTTGGGTTAGCGGTGCAAGTCCCAACAGACTAGCCTGCCCCTTACACATACCTTAAAACCGAGAACTGAACTCACACGTGGCTTAATCTGCAGCCAAACCACACACATGCTTGTGTTATTGTTGGCGCTAGGTGTCACTGAATCGACAACGTCTTCTAGCAATCCTATGAAGAACAGCTCTGGCCTGGACCAGCCTCACCAGCTCTGCTATGCTCCAGCCATTGCTGGCTCAATTGCTCTCGCTGGGGGTCTCCCTCTCTTTCGTTGACTCTACTTTCCTAAGCATGAAGTCTACCCCACCCCCCAAGGACCAGGCTTCCTGACAATACACCCAAAACATGTGAGACAACGGTGCATCATCCTTTCCTCTACAGAGCACAAAGCTTGCACTTTCCTCCAAGGCAGACAGATGTCTTTGTTCTTTTGGCAGTGCGAGAGATAGTCAATAACGGCCAACACATGCTTAGAGCGTGAACAAACACCACCACCAGGGAGGGTGTATTCCTTGGAACAATCAACTAGTTGAGCTCAAAAGGACAGTGCTTGCCCAGAAATCAAATGAAGAAAGTAGAAGGGGAAATGAAAGAAGGACAAGTGGAAATGGGACATACTGGGAAGGAGAGGGAAATCTGCTGCTTTTACACTGTGAGGATTCTAATCAATGCCACAAAGGAAAATGTGTCCAAACAGAAAAATCAATTTGCTCTGTCAATTTTACCCAAAGCATAATAAATAGTTTAAAGAAGAGTAAAACACAAAAATCAAATTACGCCACCACATCTCAGCTTAAAACCCATGCATGGTCCTTGCTGTCAGCTCAGAACCAGCAAGTTTCCAGAGCCTGAAAATCACATGGGAGGAGATTGCCCATCTTTCTCCCGGAGAGTAGCTGAGAGATTAGAACTCCTGTCTCTTTGGTGGGTAGAGCAGCTCCTTACCCAAGACCACTGGGGTTCCCTACAACTTGACTGGCCTTAAGCCCCATGAGCAAAGAGCTGAGATTTCTCGTCCCGTGCCATTCTCCTGATCTGATGCAAACCGGACTGTGTGATCCACAAGGCTTTTATTGGCTCGTCGTCAGAAACAGATCAAAAGAATTCCGGGTGACTTTGTATCTGCAGTTTGCGTAACCACCATCTGAAGGCTACTCATGTTGCCCGTTTTATGAAGTACTTTACAGGAGATTAAAGGGGATTTAGGGAAATTGAAGAGGACGCTAAGGAGTCCTGGTAACCCAATGGTCATAAGTTGGCCGCTAACAAAGGGTCTGCGGTTTATGCCCATTGGTGGCTTCTTGGGGGGGGGGCGTGTGGAGGGGGAATAATCCCTGACAATTTACTTCCACTAAGATGGCAAGCTAGGAAAACCCAATAGGATAGTTCTGTGTCATATGGGGTCGCCAGGAGTCAGAATCACTTTGGGAGCACCCAAGGAGGACATGGTAGCTTACAATGATAGGAGAAGATTTCTAAATAATTGAGTGGGGAAAAAATTTGTTTAAAAGAAAGGAAACAGGGTTTTTTAAAAATTTATTTTTAATTTCAGTAAAAATTTACAGAGACTTTGGAGGGAAACTGGAACCCTAATTCACTGTTGGTGGGAGTTTAAAATGGTGCAAACACTATGGAAGGCAGTATGGCGCTTTCTCAAAAAGTTACAAATAGAGATACCATTTGACCCAGCAATTCCACTACTGGGAATATACCCCAAAGAGACCATAACTGCCACCCAAGCAGATATATGCACACCCATGTTGATTGTGGCTTTGTTCACAATAGCAAGGAGTTGGAAACAACCTAAGTGCCCATTAACAAATGAATGGATAGATAAGCTGTGGTATATTCACACAATGGAATACTATGCTGTAATGAAAAGGAGGAAGGAAATAGTTTTATGCTTTAGGTGGGAAGTTCTTCCCCCCTAGAGCTGGACTTGGGAATTTGTAAGTGGGTGAAGGGCTGGCGGTCTTAAGCCCATTTGTATGAGTATGGTTTACCCTGGTGGTGCAGTGAAGTGCTTGGCTGTCAGTGAAAAAGCCAACAGTTTGACATCATCAGCTGCCCCCGTGGAGACAGACATTCTGCTTCTGTGAAGATTATTGCAGCTTTGTTCGCAATAGCAAAGAGCTGGAAACAATCCAAGTGCCCATCAACAAACGAATGGATAGAGAAGCTCTCGTATATCCACACTATGGAATACTATGCAGCATTGAAAAACAAGGAACTCATGAAATGGGTGACCCTGGAGGACATTATGCTGAGTGAAATATCTCAGTCACAAAAGGACAAATATTGCATAGGGCCACTGTTGTAGAATGGGACTGACATCGGGGTTGAGGGAAGACAGAAAAAGAGGGGAGGAATGATGTATACTGCATTGAAACCGATGAGGGAGAGAACTGTTTAAAAGGGGTATATGAATGGGTATTCTTGTCATGACAGGAGTCCAGAATGAAGGCTGCGTGGTGGAGTGGACTTGGCGGGGGAGGGACTGTATAACAATGAAAGAATTTTTCTTTTACTTTTCAAAGAGAAGGGTGAATTGAGGAGGAGGGATGGATAGGGAGAAAAGTGCAACAACGAATGACTGGAAACCCTAAGTCTCTGTAAACTTTCATTTAAATTAATTTTTAAAAATGTAATATAATAAAAAGAAAAACAAACTCATTGTCATGGTGTCAGAACTGACTCCTAGCTTGACCCTCCAGCAGGTTTTCAGAGGCTGCAAATTGCACCAGAGAACACAGCTCATCCTTCTCTTAAAGAGAAGCTGGTGGATTTGAACTCCTGGACAGGCGCTGCCTTTGATTTAGCCTTGGAAACCCTTCTGGGGCAATTTTACCCTGTTCTATAGGTTTCCTGTGAGTCTAAACCAACTGCACAGCAGTGGGTTTGGCTTTGTGTGGTTTGTCATAATGTCAATGATCAATAAAACTGACTTGGAGATTGGAACAGGTTCCAATCACCTAACATAGATGCTCAGTGCTGCCCCCTAGAGTCTAGTTCAAGAACGTGCAGGGACTTGGTCGCACTAACGTGAGTAGTGCTGCCCCCTAATGCTCATCCCAGTAACTTGCAGGGTTAGGGTTATTCAGCGTCATCGAGTCGTAAGCGACTCCTAAGGACCCAAGAATGAAAGATCTGAACACTCATATAACTTTCATCGTTTCTCAAAGTTCCTAGAGTTTCCGGAGGCAAGCTATTTCGAAGGGGATGCTACTTCTGCTTCCAAGCTTGTTTTAATCAGGGAGCTCCACCCAACACTGTCCA